TTATGTTATGTATGACCATGCTGGGCTAAAGTGGGACAGATGATACAAAAATAAAGGGGAGACAGATCTTAAGTAGTGACTGGTATGGCACTCCTTCAAAAGGCCTGCTTGGGCCCTTCCAAAATACTTCTTGAGATCCCAGCTGGGAGAATAAGGTGGATAGGAGTGGCTGGTGCCATTTATAATCTCTCCCTTCTCTTTTGTACAGTTCTTGTCTTGGAGGTGTCAAGAAACAAGAAGGCTGTTGGGGACCTGAAGTGCTTCAGAAAGCATGACGTAGAAGTAAAGGAAGGGAGGATCTGGTGCTGGAAGAAACCCTCAGGGGATCCAATAAAGCCACTACACTGACCTTTGATCCACTGACCAGGTGCCAGGATGGGGACCAGTACTGAAATCTGGTGGTACATAGGCTGGGTTGTGGTGGTGAGCTTTAGATTGAATATATAGTTCTCCTTTGGACTTAAAAAGAAGAGTCTTCACTCAGAGACCATGGTGCCAGAAAATCAATCTCTGGTGTGGCAAATGGAGATGTTGCCTGAGGGGCAGTTGCAGACTCTCCACTTTTTATGCCCTCAAGAAGGAGTGTGCAATAGACATTACTGGTTAAAGGATTCCAATATTCTGGGCACACATCAAAAGTGGCATCCATACTCAAAAGTTCTTCAGGACCTTCTATTAAATAAAGCAAAATTTTAAAAGCACTCATCAGTACATCAGTAACTTTTAACCTCAGATATTTCAGATATTGGATGGAAACCTCCTAACTGGAGGAACAAAGTCTCTTCACTAAGATTTCATAAGGATACTTCTCTCTCCTTCAATAACTAGGACTCATGTACACTGCAGACAAATCAATACTTACAGCACTGCAGCGCTAACTGAAGATGCTACTTATGCTGATGGGACAGCTTTTCCCATCACTGAAGGTACTCCACCTCCCTGAGAGGCAGTAGTTACGTTAATCGGAAAAGCTGTTAACCTAGAACTCTCTAGCCTGGAGGTAAGGTCAATATAACTACACTGCTCAGGGGTGTGGAAAATTCACAACATGGATCCCAAGCAGTGCTTTTTTTGTGACAGTACATCCCAGGACAGCGTACCAAACACCTGTTTTCCCTGCATAACTTAAATGAATTGCATTCCCCTCAGGTGTACTGGCACCTCTTTTCCTGGGGAAGCTGGGCTCCCAACAGAAGCTTGCTCGGGACATGCGGCTCTTAAAGGGGCCGTGACAGCATTTCCGTCCCCCCACCCCGTCCTCAACAACTTTCCTCCCCCCAGTCCCGGTTTTGGCATGGCTTTTTTTCCCTCCCCTCGACAACTTTCTGCCTGGAGTACCCGTACCTTTTTTCTTACAAAAAAACCCCACTGATCCCAAGCGATATAGTTATATTGACATCAATTACCATCACAGATCAAGACTAGGGACTCACATTGGTATAGCTACATCTCTCAGGGTGAAAAATCACATTCCTGAGGGCAAATCTACAGCACTGCTTTAAACACAGCCACACCACTGTAGAGATTTAATGAAAATATAACTTACTATGAAAATAGACTTAACACAAAAAGTGTCATGCCTTCAACTGCATTCAGTGAAACACAATCAAATCACAAATGGAAAGGAATTATGACTAATTATAGGTGCAATCTTACAAACTGATGTGCAAGAGAGTAATTGCAAATTGCAGTACTTAATTAGTTCTGTCTATTGTGTTGGAAAAATATTACGGTACCTCTGATATTCTAAACACCTGCAAATCTTAGAAAACTTGTTATTTTCTCTTTTTTAGACATTCAATATGTGGTGATTCATGGATGTTCTATGAATCATTTCAAGAGAAGTTAGCTATCAATTTGAAGAGAACAAATTCACTTGTTTTGTGCAGTCTTGCATGCACTCATCTGATTCTATACCCATCTGGCATAATGCATGGCCTCACTTCGCCCCATGGCTAGGAGTGAAACTTGACATTGCATTACAGATCATTGCTAACAGAGCCCAACAATATAATAAAAGAAATACATTTGTTCTGCTTTATCATATGACTGTTGAAGATTATTTATGAAAACAATGAGAAATGGTTGATAATCCTAACCTCTAATCCATTTTTACCAGAACTCTATTAATTTAAGAACCATAGCTGGTCTTATACTTATCTGTATCCCCGACAAAAACTAAGATGTCTGAATACAGGCAGTCCTCGGGTTACGTGGGTCTGACTTAAGTCGGACCCCTAGTTACGAACTGGGGGGGGGCCCCCGCTAGTGCGGGGTGCCTCCCCCACTGTCGCAGCCTCCAGCGGCGTGGGGGGCGCTTCCCCCCAGCAGACCAGGGAGAAGCGGAGCGGCTTTTTCTCACCGCGGAGAACGCGGGTCTGCTGGGGGGAACAAGACACCAGCCAAAAGGGGGCACCCCAGAGCGGAAAAATTAATTTCCTAGGGAACAGCAGGAGCAGCAGGCAGT